TAGTACTAGTACTAACGATAGTACGAGTACAGCACCACCAGTAGCTCAGTAGCGGAAGGAGCAGTGGCAGCAGAAGCCGAAGCCCAAAGCCCTTACCTCCTTTGAACTAAGCCTCAACTGCCCAATCTGCAACTGCAGCAGCCCATATGACACAACTCCTTCTGTGGTAAGATGTGGTAAAGCTGGGAACCTACGATTTCGTGAGTCAGAGTGTCTAGAGCTAAGAGCTCAAGCCATCTAACCGCAAGTTGCCAGCAAGCTGCATCCATCATCCCGAGCAGGATAACACACATGAGCGCGAACATGCCTGCTTGACATCTACATGAGAAGGCAAAGTATTTGTTTGTGTGCTTCGTACATTGCGTACTGGTTCTGTCATAGCTTGCATCTAGTAAGGGAGATTCATTTACTAGTTAATAATCACTCTAACAAAAAAGTTTCTAACTGGTTACTGATCTAACCAAACACTCACTCACTCAATCGATCAACTAATCTATCTATCTGTCTACCCATCTATCGATCATCAAGCCCGTCAATCAATCAGCCAATTGCATACTGACATAAAGCCCTGCAGCATCAAGATCTACTTATCCGTGTCGTTGGATGGCCATGTGACCATTGAAGGCGCGAGAGCGCGACACATACATCAACAGAACGTATGTTGCAGCATGTCCGCCCTTGCCTTCGATACCAAGTTTCTATTTTGTCCCTGTCGGCATTTGCTGGCATTTAAAGGCCGCATGTGGTGCCCCAAACCCGAACAATGAGAACGACGCATTTGGCACAGCACCCCGCCCATCAGATGCACCCAAAGCGCTCGAGCCGAAAGGCGGACCCTTTCCCAAGCCCTTGGCCCAAGAAATTTCGGCCTTCAGGTTTCTCGGATTTCGGCCTTAAGCCCTCCACCCCGAAGTGCTTCGACAAGCTGCAGGGTGCCAGCCAAGACATCGTCATTGCCATTCCAATGGACCTGAGTCGGGTAAAGGCTGTTGTAGGCTTCACTATTTGGTGGTTCAGGGTCGGAGTCGGCGGAGTGGCATCAAGGTTGCAGGCGTTGGGTAACTGGATGGCACAGCGACGTCCACGTTTGAAGATCTAGAAAGATGCGAAACTCCAAGACTTCTCTAGCCGAGGGTGCAGAAACATCAAATCGCCAAAGACCATGACCTGATCGGACACAATCAGGTCGGAATTTGGGGTTTGTGCTTTGGCTTTGGGCACCTAGGGTTTTAGGTGTCGGGCATTTGGAGGGCTATTGTTTAATTTCGGCGAAAACAACGACAGCGACGACAACCCCACCACGATCACAACGACGACAAAGACGACCACGGACGTCCAGCTTGCGCGTCTATCTGTTGACTCATGCAGCATTCGGAAGGGATCTTTCTTGCGTGTTGCGGGTCACTTGTCAGTGACAATGTCGTCGGCATGACTAGCATCGCCTCCTTGTTGCCGTATCTAGGACGTCTGTGCAATAAGCAAGTCGCAGAAGACGGCCGAAAATCCACTGGAAGCCGGAACATATCGGCCCCAAGCAGCAGCGAAAGGCAGAAGATGGCGCTGTGCTTTCGTGGGCTGGTGCTGCCATGGCCACAGCAAGCATCACAGTCATCAGTATAGAATGACACGAATTCTGACAGTCTGATAACTTGAAGCTGCCCCTTGAAAACCAGTTTACGGGAGGTTTATCCGCAAGTCTTACTCGAGTTCATCCTTCAACTCTGCTTCAGCCCGGGAGCGGTCAGCAGGTGATGGTAGTGAACGGGAACTTTGACTGCAGAAAGGTCCAGCAGATCCTGCCAAGGATCGGTTGCCCTAGGCTTTTGGACTTGTCCGCAGTATTTCATGTTCAAGGCGCAGGGACGTGCAGGGTGCCACGGTTTAAAGAGCTGTGTAGGGAACGGTCACTGACAGCTCTTCAGAGTGCTGCTGTCTCAGCGACAACATCGACCGTTCCGTTGCTCCTGGTGGTGCTCCTTGTAAACGAGGAGTCGGTCCACCATTTCTGTAAGGACAGAGTCCCTGCCGGCGTCGGCCTTTCCTTCAGCCTTGCATGGTGGACAGTACGAAAACGAGCGTTTTACCTTATTACTTTATGGACCGAGGCACTTGTTCCATTGCTGGCAACGATCGGATGATCTCATTTTGCTTTGCAGTGGCAAGCCACCTACTAGATTCGGGGCTAACTCGATTGACACGTCTTGATTTTGTGGGCAGCTGGTTCTGGTGCAGAGTTGTGGTTTCGGCGGGGAGAGACACGATGCGGTGCTCTGCATTTGGTTCTCCATCCTTCGCCAAGCCTGTACACAAACTCAGTCTCAGCTCGTCTCTTCGCGATCCCGCAGCTTCTTTACGGACGTTTCAGTAGCCTGGCATCAACCTGTTGAATGCGAACGTCCGACATGTTTACAGTAAAGCCTCAAGATAAAGATTCCGACAACCCCTTCGAGTACGACCCTTCCCGAGTGGATCGGGCTTTTGGCTATGCGCACGCTGCAGAAGTTGGGCAGACGCACCGGAGCTTGCTACGCCCTTTCGAGCCCACACAAGTAAGGACGGTTTAGAAGCTGAGGGGAGTGAGACACGAAGGTTTCATCTTTCGTGACATGGGATCAAAATCTCAAAAGGGTTGTCTGACAATCCCAAGCTCGAAAGCTCGTGAAGAAAAGCCTCAAAACTACATTCTGACGCCCGAATCCGAAACCCTCAACCCAGGACCCTTGCCTCAAGCGCACTTCGGACCACCTCGCCGGCCATCTGCGTTACAACTAGTAGCCTCCCCAAGCCTGCTCAGGGCTCCAATCTTGGAGCTGAGGGCTGAGGCACTCTGCAAATACCAAGCAAGGGTTACTCCACCAGGTTGGGACTGTAGAGTTTGGGGGCCTGTTGAAGCCTACTGGCTATCCACAAATGATTCATCCTCTGGTGCCGGCAACAGCAACGCCGCTGAGACAGGGGGCAGTGGGAGCTTGAAAAGCATTCAGTTCCCCCTACAGTAAGGGCTGCCAGTTTTTCCACTGCTAATGTTCCTGCACCCCAAATGCAGGGTCTTGGATCCTGGAGCCCTCAAGCTCAATTTCGAAAGGGCAGCTAAAAGCGGTAATCTCCGGACGGCCTCCCAGGCTGCGCAGGAACTCCACCTCCAGGCTCGAAAATCCCGATTTTTCCAGGTGCTTTGGAAGGTCGAAGGGCAATTTTTGCGTGCGGGGCGGGGGGCATCTGCTCAAGCCAAAGATGCCAAATGATGGTGGCACTTGCGACACTTGTGACTAGCTCGAGGCTGAAGCTCATAAGGATTACATGAGTCACAGAAGAAACACGGATCTTAGGTAGTTGGAGCTGCAGATGCAACATAAAGAATATCAACAACGATGCTAGGTCTAACTACTGGAACGACGGTAGCTGTGACAATGATGCTGCGAATGATCTTCGAAAATAAGAGCACTAGAAGCAATGATCGTGATTGCAAAAAGTATAGCAGTATTGCCAAATACTAGTAACGTCTTTTATGCCAGCGTAGATCCATTGACAAGTTCTGTCACCCCAAACCGCTACAATCATCATGGACACTCCGCCCGACCATAGCCATCCAGCCCAACGACAACTCATCAGCACCGTCACCAAGACCTGGGAAGCATCTAGACAACATGAACAGGCCTTTCGGCCAAGGAATCAGAACTCACACGCAGAGTTCTAGCAACAGCATCGTCATCGTCACTATGTCCTGCGCACAATCGGTGAGTTTTCAACCATGAAGAGCATCTACCGCCAACTCCGTGCCTCGTTCTTCCTCACCAATCCCGAGGAGACGAAGGATTTCCACTGTTGTTCGTCCTGCGGCAGGTTCAGGGTGTCCATAGGGCTGCGACAAGGGCTTCCGAAATCGGAAGCAAGACACTGGCTTCAGAGATTGGGGACCGGCAGGGGTTTTTCTGGTGGCCACCATGGAGCCAAAGAAATTCGGCTCGGTTGCTGGAGGAGCTTTGGTTCTGGAGTCGCTGAGACGTCGTGGAGGCTCCCGCCGGGTTCGAGCTTGCGAGTCCAACTTCGGGAGTTCGGGCTCCGGACTTTCGGCTTAGTTCGAGCTCCGACTTCGGTTGCAGGCGTGGGGTCGGAAGGTCAGGCAGCAGGAACACGAAGCCGTCTCGATATTGCTGCTCTGCTGCTATACGATGCTGTCGAGCTTGAACCTTTGCCATGCTGCTTTCGCGCACAACATCAACTCCTGGAATGTGAAACCCATAATGCACCACAAATGTCAGGCCGCCGAAATCCGCAACTCTGCTACACCCAAGTTCCAAGGCTGGTCCAGGTCAGTCTGTCCACGCGTCTCCAGCTGAGCCACGCCCAGCCTCAGTGGCACAGGTTGCCAGCAGGAGTCCCCCGCGCACAAAAAGAAACACTTCAACCCGAGGATGCCAGCTTCTGCTGTGAACCCTAGAACTTCTTCTTCGTGAACCTTTGCCCAAAGCTTCAGAGTTCAAGCACGAAGGTGTCAGGATTCCATGTGCAGGGGTTCCGGGGCTCAGGTGTCGAAACTTTAAGATGTGAGGTCTCATGCTCCATACCGAAAGGCAGCGACACTGCAGTGATCCAGCGGCTGGACAAACGGTCGTACCTGGGCATTCGAGCGATTTGGGAACCTTCGTAATCACGGTTGTGGTGAAGGCTTGCACTCTAAACTCAACCCTGAACAAAGGAGGACTCCGAGTGGACATCTGACCCTGAACCTCGAATCCGACACCACCTTAATGCAGCTTCTTACCTCCAAGCCTCAAGGCATAACACGCAGATAAACTGATAATTACCCCTCAGCCCCGAAACCCTACGGCAAACGTGTGAGCACTTCGTGCAATTTTGGTCTACATTGGGGCTTCGGTGTCATCTGTGAGGCCGTGATTGTTCCTCAGCAACCTCGTTCTGGGAGCTTGTGCCAGGGCGTTGAAAATTGAACCTTCCAGGGCTTAAGGATCTCGGGATGCAGCTGAATTGAAGCTTCAGATAGAGCCTGCTACACTCCTACCTTAAGAACCCCAAACCCACTTTTTTGTAGGTTCTTATTGTAAACCCGAATATGGGATTTATAGGGACCCTACAAAAAAGTAGGTTTTGGGTTCTTAAGGTAAACCCTCCACAGCCCAAGGTGCGGCTTGTCCGGCTTCCGTAGGAAGAGCCGGGCATGGTACATGAAGTCGTGAGCTGAAGCAAACATCTTCTGCGTGGTCGCGCAGATGTGCTGGTATCTCCTGAAAGTTCGGGAGAAATTGCGAGGATCCAGATTGTAGGGCTTTGGGCTTGGGTTCATGACCATGTCAAGCTCCTCCCACTGCCACCGACGCAGAACAGCAGCATGCAGGATCTTCAACTTGTATGATCTGTATGATGGTTCTTCCGATGACGACGACTCCTTGCTGTTACTGGTGCTCCTACTCATACTCCCACCACTCCTCCTCCTGCTCCTGCACCTCCTCCTACTTCACTACTACTAGCAGTACCACCACCAGCGGGACCGGGACCAGTACCAGTACCGCTACCTTCTTCAATCCTGATCACCCTCACGCAATGTCGATGCCATGGTGCCCAAAACACTGGTTCACATAGAAGGCCAGGAAAAACGTGACCATAATGGATATCATCTTCCTTGGCATCGGATAGCTTGGGATCACCGCTCATCACCGCCTTGCAGAACCCAGTCCCAAGCCGAAGACATTCCAGTCTTGGAGCAAGGTCCCATGAAGCCTGGACACAGCACAACCAGGCATGCCAAGCCTCCCTTCCGAACTTTGTCCATGCCCCATTGGGCCTTGAATGGAGGGAGCCTGAGCCTCCTGAGACCCCAACTTAGACTGTAGCTGTAGGCACAAAACGAGAAATAAAAAGCCGTCGATCGGATACCCAGTTGCTGGTTGGACTTTGTGGGTCAGGGCTGGCAACACCTCCAACGACATGCCGGTTCTGTGAAGACCTATCTGTACAACCTCGGAGCGAGCCTTTGCGAGCCTCTGCTTCCGATAATACTGTGCAGAAATGAGCTAAACTCGAAGCCTCCATGCCCTATAGCACCCTGCATTTTGCAGCCAAAGGTCAGGTCGACCCAGCAGTCCACCCAGTCGATGCCCACAGTTCCGAGGTTGCCCCCGCGATTGCCCTTCCATCCGGCGTTGTCCCTCCATCCGTGCTGGAAGAATCCCCATACCATCCTTGGAAGCCGTGGCATGACATCACCATGATGGTGACATCACAGTGACATGCATATGGTTGTTGGCACAGGTTTATAACATCTGATTGAGCTGGAGGGCTGTTGGTCTGCAACAGCAAACATGCCACGCTCGGGTAGGTTACGACCCTTGCTCTCCTACCCCGAGTAGGAAACGGCATTATAGATTGGATGCAAATCCAGACAGGGGTGCTAAAACTCCAAACCCAGACAACCCAAACCCCAAAACCTGAAAGTCTTGGCAGCGGCTCATGTGTAGCCCGAAGAAGAGCCAGAAGTCCGCGCGCACGAGGACTCGGGGGAAGATGGAACTCCTTGGTGGTCTCCAAGGGCTCATGGGTTTCCCGAATGCCCCAGGAAACTGCTTTCTTGCGAAGACGGACAGCATCAGCATGACTTAGACACACATGCTAACGCGCTCCCCCCCGTTCAATCTCTCGCATTCCTGTCTGTCTGTGCTTGCGCACGGTCCAGGTCCAAAAGCATCAACTGCCCCGCGGATTCCAGCCCAAAGCCACCCCGTCCCGGCGGCTGCTACCACTTCGCAAGCATTTTTGCAACATCGCGTTCGAAAACGGATACCGTCACGAGGATTGCCCCTTCAAACCGCGCATGCCTGTGACTCTTGTTTCATACATTCTTGCAAGGCCGTAGTCCCAACAACAACAACAACAACCACCACCACAACGACGCCGACGACAACAACAACAACTGTCACGAGGATTCCGGCTCCAAGCCCTCCCATCACTGTGACTGTTACAAATTTTGGAGACAACACCGCGAGGCTCGCGTGCAGAAAAGACATCTGTCACGAGGATTCCCCGCCTGCCCGCGCTCCCCCCCTCCCGCCATACCAGGAAGCGGCGGGCGGGAGGGGAGGGGGGGGGGAGCAATGCCAGATGCCTGACCCTACGGACGTGTATACAAAGACCTTTATGTGTGTGCATATATATGTATATAAATATACAAACTATTTTTCATATGACACACACGGAGGTGCAGGTGAGTGCGTTTGCCGAACTTTGCCGCCGACAATATTCACAGCTCGTAGCTAGGAGTTAATGAAAGATCTGGCCGGATGTTCTGAACCCTGTAATCTAGAACACTCAAGACTCAAGAGGTATTCCAGTAAGCGGAGACAAGCAGCACCAGGTAAAGAAAGGATGGGATGCAGCTGCCCCGCTTGTGCGGTGGACCTGGCTCTGAGGCAAAGTCGTAAAGCAACAAACCCCAATCACTAGTCGTGTCGTAGTAGTAGGAGTAGCAGTAGCGGCAGCGGCAGCGGTAGCGGTAGCCGTAGCAGTAGCAGCAGGAGTAGGAGTAGAACTAGGAGTAGGAGTAGGAGTAGTAGGAGTAGGAGCCGGAGTAGGAGTAGGAGTAGGAGTAGGAGTAGTAGTAGTAGTAGTAGTAGTAGTAGTAGTAGTAGTAGGAGTAGCAGTAGCAGTAGCAGTAGCAATAGCAGTAGTAGTAGTATCAAGTGGTAGTAGCACCGCCACAACGCCCAACCATTTAACATAAGCCGAGACCCTTTCCTGACCCTTAGCCCGTATGGCTAAGTCCTGAGCATTAAGAATGCCTGCAAAAGTCGAGTGCCTTCGTGCATTGCCGACTGCAAGGATTTCGCCAAATGGCGGCAGGCTTCCCACTGTTAGGACCTCTTTGGGTCCAGGATACAGGGGGTTAAGCTGAGCGTTGATTTAAGGTAAAAGTTGACATCAATGCGGACTGCGCAGCGAGTGATTGAGTTGACTTCTATATTGATATTCTTAGTCTTATCGCTTAAGGTCATGATTTCTACCGTGTGTGTTTCTGCTATCACTGCTGCGGCAGTCTTGGTACCACGGCACCACGACTGCAACCATGATGATGCTTATCAGCTCTAGGACCTTGGAGTGCAAAATAAGTTCGGATGCCTGGGCAAGGAACCAATGCAATTCGAGCCATAAGTTGGCGGCAGGGAGCTCAGAACCGAGATGGAGGCAACTCACTGCCGTCTATCACAGCGGCCGTCTTCTACGTTAACACTGGAGGTCCCAATTCTGCTGTCAACGTTCAGTTGAAGAGCCGAAAAAACAAATCATGACTTTGTCGAGGGTTTCGGGAAACTGTTTGGGATCTTGACACGGAGTGTTTATACCGCCTTTCCAGAGAGTGAAGCGATTGAAAGAAGTATTCTCGTACTTTGATGCAAAAAACCTGAGCTCGTCAATACAAGCAGCCAAGCGCTTGCCTGGGGTGTCACTGGAGCTTCAGCGAGTGAATTCTCGGCTACTGCGATCTTGTCGCGGGCCAGCCTGCCGTTGTTAAGATGCTCGACTCCCTAGAGGGCTCCAAACTTCGTAGAAGGCCATCGTACAATTAAATTTGGAACAGGGTCGGGGGTAGAGTAAGACTTCAACTGCTTCACGAGCACGTAGCTAAGATGGCTCCTACGATGACTGCAAGCGGCATGCCGAAAGACACCCTGCCTAGATTAGACATTTTCGCACCAGCTGTCCAGAGCTCTGTGAGCTGCAGGGCCATCAAAAGCATCCTGTGGGTCTTTAGACAAATTAGGAGGATTTAGTCAAAGTGTGGACTATGTAGCAGAAAAGTCTACTCAGTGCGCTGCCGGGGGTTCGTCATTGAAAGAACCTTCGCTATTTTGACCATGGCTCTTCTTCAAGAACTCCATAACTGCAAACGGACTATGGCGGACAGGATCGTCACGATATTAATCAACCTGTCTGTGGGAGTTTAGTCTACTGCGTTCGCTTGAAAGGTTTTTGGGTTCAGCATCATCGGGCCTCGACCTTAATCACTGAATCCAGAGGTACTAGAGCGTTAGGAGTTTTGGAGTTTACAACAAGCAAACAAGCGAGAAGGCTGGACAAGCGCCATTCCAAGATGTCTTTGAGCTTGAGCTTCATCTGACATGCAGACGATGCACTGGAGGTGCATTTCCTACACTGCATGCTACCTACAGTCGTGTGACTGATCCGTGTCTCTCTTCTTGCACACCACCGCACCACACAGCATCCCGCTGCCTGCAAGTCCTTGAGGCTGTCCAGCAAAGCACGACCCGCCGCATCGACAGAACCCTGCACAGAGGCACAGGCTCATGAAGAACCGGAAGCCAAGAACTTGGACCGAAAATCCAAGACCGCAGTCCTCAATCCTATATCCTTTGACCAAATTGCTACTGTATTGACGCTGCACCACTACGTAATGCAGTACAACTGCGATCATACCAAACTCCTCGTCAGGTACGATATCAAATATGCGGTTCAGTACGACTACATGGGTGGTTGTCAAAAATTATGGTCCCTCTCTGGGGTACCCTAAATAATAGGTGCCGTATTATAATAAGGACCCAAAAAGGGACCCTAATTTTGACAACCACCCACATGACTACTGCTATCGTCCTACAAGTAGCCCTTAGCGCTCTCATGCATGGCCCTGCCGTCTTCAGCTGCGCCAGGGCGCCCTGAGCCTCGATAACGGCGGAGATGTACCTGTGATTGGGGCCTAGCTGTCATTATGATTCCAGCAATCCAGAACATGTACTGATGCCCGGCTATACCTCAAAACATGGCACCATGAACAGTTCATACCAAAGGTCGTCTGTGGACGGACGACTCTACCGCTCCCTGCCGGGACTGAGAGTGTTTTTCGCTGGGCTTTGATGTGCGGAAAGATGCAGAAGCAAGACTGTTAACACACTGACGTCTGGCTTGCGAAATCAGTGCAGTGTAGCCCGATGAACACCTTTTCAATTTTCTCAACCAACAACTTGAGCTGTCTAAGCACAGGCACAGGTGCACCAAAATGAAACATACCCCGCCTGGTGGGCACCTGCCAAATTATCCCCATGATCGCGGCCACCGCTTTTGCTACTCTCAACACCATCATCGCATGATGATCATGGTCATCATCCTGCTATCTCACGCCAGCAGAGTCTGAAACCTTATAGATTGGATATACCTAAGTTTTCTCAGCCAATGAAGCACCAAGCTCTAGGCGACATCCCTGGATTTGCGATCAGGGTCAAGGCCTTAAGCGCGAGGGCATAAAGTCAATCTTTGGCGCACTTCTCGCGGAGAGCCTTGCGCTTCTGAAGGTCCTCTGGGCCCAGCAGCAAGCAAAGCTTCGGATTGTCAGCATGGGGCGGACATGAATAAAGAAGTCCCGGGACTACATGTCAACATGAATTTGTTACTGTTAAGAATTCCACAAAACGGAAATATGGCTACGAGCATCTGGACCTCGGGCAGCCTCGACCTTCAAGCAACATATTCAAGGCGTGCAGCAAAAATCAGGAGCGGATCTTTAACCCACCCCACGATCCACGGTCCTCCGCACACAACTCCCTCTTCGGAATCTTGCAGACAATCTGCAGTGCCTGAGAGGGTGTGAGAGGCAGAGGGTGTGTAAGAGTGGCAGGGAACGTAGGGACTTCGGGTCCGGGAGCTGCCGTGGGACTGTCGGCTTGAAGGCCAGAGGCTTGGACTGTCAGAGGGTTTTTGGGGAAGCAAACACCATGATGCGTGTGAACAAAACGTAAACCCCAGGCAAAAAACGATGCACACCATTAGGGCCTAGGTATGGACATCCACTGACGAGCAAGGAAAGCTGCACGGCAGAAACCAAGAAAACCACATCAGGCCATCAGTCCACAGCTCCAAAGGCCTGAACCGAAGCCCTTTCCAAATAAGCGCTTCGGCCACAACCGAAACATATGGATTGGCATGTACAGTATCAGGTTTCACATTGAAGGTAGGCCTTTGTACACCCAGCGCACCCACGCGCAAGACTCAAACCTGGCTGGACCGTAAAGCGCTCGCTTCGGCACTGGGCTTTCGGCCCTCAGTGCATGCTGCCACCATGCGCGCACGAGCGCTGGGCGCCTGGCGGAGAAGGTGAGAAGGCCGCGGCAGTGTTTCTAGCCAGCACTGTTCTTGTGACTGCCTAGTTGCTCAGGGTATGTGGCAGAGTTTAGAAAGCACGGTCCTTTGAGACTTTCGGCTTTTCAGTTGAGGGGTCGATCCTATCGGATGCTCGGTTCCAGCATGCTGGGATCAAGAGTCGGAGGAATATCCGAAACAACATACGCGGCACCTCAAACACTCCTGCCATGATGTAGCCAGGAGCCCGAAACCCTTTCAACTCTCTTGCATGAAAACATCAGCCCCGCAGCACCTGACTTTGTCCCTGCACTCTCCGATGGACTGCGAGGGCCGCGAAAGCATGATGGTGTCCTGCTCACCAGGTCGCAGGCTCGGGCTTTCATTAGCCGTGGTTGGTTTAGGGTTTAGGGTTTAGGGTTTAGGTTTCATCATCAAGCCGCATCGAACCCTTTGGGCTCGCGTGGCCGTTTAATTGCTGCCGCTCACAGTGTCGGGCCTTCCGGTCCAGTGATTTGGGTCTTGCGCTGAAGGAACCTACATACACCTCCTCCCAGAACAGACCGCTTTCGTGGCATCGCAGTTGCCTTGAGGATGATGTTCAGACCTTGCATGGGCCTTGGGCACTGGGGCACACCACGGAACAGCCCACGAGCAACAAGCTCCACCCCTAGGCGTAGTCCTTCATCCAAGCTGCATCCGGAAAGCTTTCAACACAAACAACCCCGAAGATCCGACTCCTACCTGCAAGCTGCCACTATAGGGTCGACAAAACACTTTATCAACCTTTTGCAAACCCCGTGGTGTGACTTAGTGCTGCAGTCATTTCTACGGCGCAGTACATCGTCAGCAAGGTGATCGTTGAGCTGCCACCCACCCTGCACTGGTCTCCTTCAGCATGAAGTTCTTCACATGGGACACCAGCGCATTGACGCTTCGGAGCTGCCACAGGCAGAAGTGGAGTCAAGGGGCCGTGTTTCTGATGGAGTTTGCTTCTTGCGTTGCCTGGAAACTCAGCATGAAGCTGCGTAGGGTGTTGCCATGTAGACTTAAGGGTCTGTGCCTGAACTCAGCACCAAACAGACTCTTCTATAATGAGGGTCCGTGCAAGATGCCCGCACATCCTGATGCAAGAACGCATATCAGCACAACTCCAACATGTGGGACGACAACGTGGGTTGGATTCAGGCCAATGCAAGCTCTACCGCCAAGGAAGTACTGGCCCTGAAAACCCGGATCATCCTCTCCGCTTCATGACAGTTCGGGCCGACGCCTGTTCTGAGTCGACTGCCACATCGAGCGTGTAAACGCGAACATCCGCATCTCGCAAGGGCGCCTGGGGAGATCAAGCTAAACTCTGAGCCTTGCACATCCTGGCACCAACTGTCCAGACTTCGAGGCCCCTTAGGACCAGAGGAACAAGTAGACCTTGGGGTGCAGGCTTAGGACTGAATGGGGGTACCGGACCTCGTTAGCTCCCCTTTCAAGTTCACGGTGTTGCCCATGCTACTGCTGCTGCTGCTGCTGCTGCTGTTCTTGATGCTACTGTGGTGCTTGCTCTTGTTCTTGCAGCACAATGCTGGAGCTCAACCAAACAAAGAAGGTAAACGCGGCCGTCAACACAGGCCCCAAGCATCCCCGCCCACCCAGAAACCAGTCACAATGGCCAGTTCCCCCTTAGAGATGTCTACAACCCTCCGGACTATGTGCATCTTGCTTA